TATTTTGAAACATTCCAGGAAAGTTACTTCTTGTCAAACTTGCCTGTGAGTGTTTATTCAAAACTTGTATTTAATAAATGAACACCTGACTTGACTGCCTGTGTTATCTTTCCGTATTAAGCATTAATAGCAATTTCAGGTGTCCCCTCTGAAAACTAAAAGGACTTTGCCCTTCACTTTTTTTTTTTAAGGTCCAGGCAGTCCCCCAGTTTCAAACATCTCACTTAGATATAACCCATAGTTATGAACCAACCCCCATAAAGCCTATTATTTTAACTTTTTGAAGTAACCTAAAACAGTTCATAACAACTGGGTACTACTTTGGGATGCGCATCAACACATTGCTGCATTGTGTTAAAAGATGTAGTGTATCTGAAAGTTTAATGTTTTTACACTAAGTCTAAGAAACATTTGACATTTTTAGCCGAAACCCCAACTCTTGTTGAATGGTTCACGACCATGTTCCCCGGTCTCGTTTCTATGACCCCTGCCATTGCAGACGTCAGCTAAATTAACCCAGTGTTCCCCTCAGCTCTGATATCCAAGCTTCAGGCAGCTGATGAGGAAAATGACTTGTCAAACCTTGCCAAGCAAGCCTTCTGGGTGTCTGGTTCCTCAAAGGCCATTCCAAACTTTTACCTCATGTCTCAAATTCTCCCCACCCGCCCGCTTACCATCCTCTTCACTGGGAAGATAAAAGACCTTTAGAAGGTCCACTTTTGAATTCCCCTCCCATCCAACCTCTGGAAAAGGCCCCCTCCACCTTTTATTCCCTCTACCTTTTCTATAATCTCACCCTTAAATTCCAACCTAAAACCGAAATCAAGGCCGCCGCGGTCAAGTCAATTCACACTCTAGGACAGTAGAAGCAGCCATTATGGTAGACTGTTTCATCCTCCCGAGGATCAGCTGATCTATTGGAAAAGATGTCAGCAGACCTGAGCACTCAGCCACGGTGCCACCATGGCTCATCCCTTATATTTACTACCCTTTCATAAACATCGCTGTACCTTCGCCCATCCATTCACTCTGGCTTCTACCATTCTGAAATTGCTCGAGCTAATGTCCATTTCTAGATGAGCTTTCTCATCCTTGACTTCTCTGCAGTAACTAGCGGGAGCTGCGGAACCGCTCACTGAGATGCTCTGCTTGCATTTTGTGATACATCTGCCGCTCTTCATTTTCCTCCCCACCTGTAAGCATTCTCAGTTTTATTTCTGGGCAGGGACACGCACCCAGCGTACAATCTTTCTGCTGCTCATCAAATGCCAATTTTCTACACACATCTTTCTATTCGGTTTTAACCCTCAGTTCAGACAGTATGTAGCTGAGCTTATAGTCAAGGATCTGCTCTCTAGGTCTTCCCTGAGCAGCAGCAAGTCAAATTTGATACTGATGCCCCTTACGTTGTTCCCACTACAGCGCCTCCCATCCAATTCTGCCACCGCAGCTTTGAGCACATCACTTACCTATCCTAGTCGCAAGGGAGACAATACCCAACAGACTTTTTTTTTTTATTGATTTCAAAATGTCTAGCATAGTCCCTCACTAAACGTGATTTCATTCCTCGCAGCCGTGGAGCTCCTTCATTCTAATCCTGATAGTGGATGGGGGGCGGGAGGCGAATTACAAACGA